TAAAGCTCGAATGGGAACGGAAAGAGAGAAGAGGGGCGTGGGGCGTGTTTTCCAAGATGTGGAATTCTCTTCTCTTCCCATGAGCTTAATGATGTATATATAGAGTTACAGTAGGGATCCTTAGGAGATTAGGATTAGGGCTTCTTAAATTATTAAAATACTTATGGACCAAGCCACTTATTTTAATTAATTAAATAATATTAAATGGGCCACCAACATAATATTATTGCACTCCCTTTTCCTAGCCCAATTTACAATTGAGACTCCAATATTAATTACTCGATTTATCTCCCATGTTTAAGATATAATGTCCATTAATTAATTTGATTACTCACAATCAAAAAATAATTAATTTATTATTATTTCACTGAAGCTAGCGCTCGTTCATCACATTATTACTATGCCGGAATTTAATCCACCTGCAGGGTTTAGCATAATAATCCTTCATGAACTCACTCTGGGGACATCATCAAACTAACGCACATGGTGACCGTAAATATCCTAACAGCACATCCTACATGTAGCAATATTACCCAAGACAGCGGGTCTATTGGCCCAGTTCACTAAGCCTCACCCATGTGAATCAAAGTAATAAATACTACACATATATGTCTGTTTAATATCTTACGGGTTAAGAGTACGCAGTAATTAACCGAGGCCTAGTTCGTTTACGACGATCAGTATAAAACGAACTGCTCCTCTCTGGGATCCTGTTCAATACATAGATGTACTAGTGCAACTAATCAGTCAAGACAAACTGTACAGTTGACACTACAACCGTTCGCCATGGGGTGTTCATGTCCATCTGGGTTGTGAACCACTTATTCTTGTTTCGCGAGTAACTGATAGCATGATCTTCGGTTCGCCCGATGACGTCAGAACGTAGAATTTGTTTAATCTAACATGTTTCTCATTCATAAAAGGTAAAAGTGTAATATCATTCAAACCCAAGCTTTCAGTATATAACACTAACAGGACGGTAGTGGTAGTTCGTAAAATGAACAAGGGGCAATAATTTTCGAACTGGTGGCTTTGCAACCATCTCACCCGAAGCTATCTCGGTCAAACAAAGGTACGAAAATTATGGATTTATTTGATTTGAAGCATGTTTGGTTTAATATAAAATTTTCGACCAACCTAAAATTCAACGAAAAAAAAAAGAAAGAAAAAAGAATAATGGGAATTGTTGGTAGCACCTATGTGATGAACTACTAGTAGAAAATGGATATGATAGAATCTACCAAAGAGCACTAGTTCTCTGATAAGACAATAAAACAAAACACAATTGTAAAGGATTCTTTGATCCGATATAAAAGGAGGGGAGGGGAGGGGAGCGAAGGCTAGGGCTTTTTTAAAAAGCCCTTATTTGGTTAGACTATTTGGACGGCAGGGGAGGAGAGGCGAGGTAAAGTTTTAACACAATTGCTTCTTTCCCCCATTTGGCTTCCCATCCAAAAGTGGGGAATTGGAGGGCAAATAAAACTTATTAATATCTAATTACTTTTATACCCTTATTATATTTATTATTTAGATGTTATCTTTTATATCAATAAAGATAAAATAGTTAATCTTACATTATTTTTCCTCTTTTTTTTTTTTTTTT